GCGAAAACCGATTATATGCCAGTTGAAATCTAAGCTGCCTTAGCTACATTAAAGCGCAAACAAATAGATAATATTGAAAACATAAATATCTAATGTGTTGTAAGTATACTTAGATATCTTTGATTTAGTTTGGCTGTGATAATAAAAAAAATGTCTAAACTGAAAAAGTTTCTTGCAAATATCAGTGGCCACGTATCCCTCACACCATTTGTAATTATTATAGGGTAGCTCAAACGTGATAATAAAATGTCTGATTACATGAGCTTCAAGAGTAAAACAACGTGTCTACAAAGTCACAAGAAACAACAAAACTCCCCGTGCGATTCACTGTAACATCTGAGTACTTTTAGCTCTGCCTTAATTAGAAAAGGTTTTTAAATTAGTGGTTGATATTATTTCGGCTAGAGTCAAATATGTCCAGTTTTTCAGCGTAACCGTTGCAAAAATTCAATAACATGGGAATTGGGCACAAATTACTAAATTTTCAAGATGTATAAAAAAGGGAATTCAGTCTTGTAGGCACTCTAGGAATCCTAACATTCAATTGAGATAAGAGACTTGGAAAGTCTCTAATTTAATAATAACAAGAAGAAGAATATTAATAATAGTGTTTATTGAACGAACACACAAAACCAGGTACAGACACGGGTTCATCAAAGGGGCTTGTATGGTGAACACCACCTTGATGAGCATGCTGCTCGTGAAGTCAAAAAGAAATCACAAATGCGAACGAAAAACATTCGGATACACTTAGGTAAAAAACGTTAATTCAATGTGATTACTCACAGTATCTGACACCACACTACGATCAAATCTAAAGCAGAAATACACAAAACATCACATAAATTCAAGATACAATTTTTTTCTCTATCGGTCTTGAGATGCCTTAACAAACACACTTAAAAGCTTTTTTTTTAATTTTTGTACTGACGTTATGTTATGTAAGTCTTCATGAGGCTCATTAAATATCTTTGATACATAAAAAGATCTTACGCTTTCTTCGTAACGTGTTGTTTTTCCGGGCATTTCAAACCGTTGATTGCTCCTAAAAGACCTAAACAAACACTTGAAATTCTTAAAGAAGCTTCTGCAGTAGTGCCTGGTGGTAAAGGTGTGCTTGAATACAGTCTCAAAATTAAGCAACTGAAGCGATTTAAACAAGTTGTCCTCTGCAAGAAATTCCGAGTTGTAAGCTACGCTTCTCGGCATACCTTTCGAGACACCATCAATCCCGTCATGCTATCGCCTAAAACCGCGTCCAAATAAAGTAATGCCATACCTTAAAATACTATATTGTTAGTGAGCGCGTTAGTAATGATGTAACTTTATGTGTAAACCCCTACGTAAAATGCTGTATCCCAATGTCTGCATAGTAAGTATCCTAATTGACAACGTGACAAACACCTTAATAGAATACAACATACGGGATACTTTTATCATTTTACTGTGTGGAGGTTGAGCGTGTTGGTTTTTAATTTACAAAAACGAACTTTTTCTTTTGCAAATATTTGCCATCTGCGTGATCCAGGATAAATGAGAATCGAACACAATTTCGATGAATTTAACATCACAAACATTTTCAGCCGGAACACATGTACAATCTGCACAACACGACGTATTGAGAAGCAAGGGCCTATATAAGCACACACTCCTTAGCTGGCTTGAAAACCAGACAAGTTTTCTTTTGAGCAATTGGTATTAATAACATCATAGGCAAACCAATCCAAGAGGCGTATAGCGTCATCCTGCAGCATATCTATTCCAGTACTATATTGTATCACAAGATAAAAGCAGGGTGTCATCCGCGTATTGATAAAGGGTACAGTTCTAAATACAAGATTGCACGTCAAAAATATATATGTCAAATAATAGAGGAGACGAAATATAACCCTGCGGTACTCGCGCTTTCGGCCAAGCAAATTTTCTAATATCAACCAAAATCATCTGAGACCTGTTAGTAAAAAAGTTAGTAAGACGTAAAAACAAAATGGACCTCTGAAATCATGAAGATTCAGTCTCTGAAGCAGTACTTTATGACTAGCTGTGTCGAACGCCTTGGATACACCAAGAAGCAAAGCATAGGATATTTGATTATTGTCAAAACTGGTGTTAAACACGTCCAATAGCTCCTCCAGTAGAGGTTGTGTGCCGCGACCCTGGAGAAAACCGCGTTGGAAGGATGACCTAAGGCTAAGATTCTCAAATATTGAGGTCATAACGTTGAACTGATGGTTGTCCAAAATAGTAGACAACGAAAGGAAGGTTGATATTGGGCGATAACTTTCAAACTTTTATCTAGTCCTACCTTGAAATAACGGCTTAACTCTTGCAGACTTCAGGTTTGCAACCAGAAGTTAGTATTTTCGTTTAGAATGATGAGTATCACACTACATAAGGCGTCAAAGTTTCTTCGGAGCTCACCCATCCCAATGCTGTTGCCACTGGCCGGTTTGTTGGACCTGAGGTCGGACATTAAAGAACAAAACTCCTGCCTGTCCAAGCAGAGAAGGAGACCGGAGGGAGCTACGCTTTTCAACGAGGTGGAAAGTTGGGCGAGTTGGTTGATGTTCATATTGGATGGGTTAAATCAGCGCAAAAAAGACGAAGGACCAGTAAAAGGAAACACACAGACACAGCGCTGACTTACAACTGAAATATTTACTGCTGCGCCATTCAGCAAGTAAACTTGAAGGGAGACAAACATAAAAGCAATCGGCCCGAAAACACGTCATCCTCCTTTTCAAGCCGACACGTGGCTAGACGTATTTCCCCGCCTTTCTGATAAAATTCATTTCATCACTAACCAGAGCAAGTGATGGAACACTAATGCACATGCCTGCGTCATGATTGGCAATAAAAAAAAACTTCGTAAATCTCCCGAGCATACTTAGTTTTATGTCGGGCTAAAATCTTAATTTCATTAAACATTGGAGAGCACGCACATCTGTCACAGTGGACCGCTAGGTTGCCAGACGGGGAGGAGCGTAAGGACAGAGCAAATCGTAAGGACAGAAATCGCGCCAACGTCACGTTGGCGCGATTTCTGGCTATCTTAAATTCTTGCCTCGTCTTTTTTGGCATGGAATGATCCTCGACTGAAAAAACAAACATAGCACACACATGAGCTGTGTGTTCTATCTCTTTCTTTTCTGTTGTCCTGTCCTTTGTGCGCTGTTTTTCATCATGACCCCCACCCCCTTATTTTTTTGCTCCCCAAAAGGTTTAGATGATTCATTCAAAGCGCAACCCTTCTTGTAATGTTTTAACTTTTTGGTGTTAACGAACAACTATGATTATATTATTTTAATCTTGATGTCAAGGCCTCTGGATAAAATATATAGCGTTTTGGCTTACAACGTGCTTTACTAGTCTCAATAAACTTAGGAATCTGAGGTATTTTCCCGCTCTGAGAAGGAAAGCGTTTTTTATGAAGCTAATATTATACAAAAAACCTATTGTTTTAATTGTTATCTTTATTTCTCATCGAATGATATTAGAATACTCACGTAACTGTGGCGACACAGCTGAATAATTGTTGTGGAATGTTATCCGGCAGCAGAGGGCATGAACCAACACGCGCCTCCCTCAAAAGAAAAAAAGAAAAAGAAGAAACTGAGTTTTCCTTGGCTGCAGCCAAAGCAGATATAATACGTAGTAATACGATTGCCGCTGAAATTCATCACCTGCTGGTGATGAATTTCAGCGCGTGTTGCGTGCTCTTCAAAGCATGCATGCTTTTTGCGCAAGGGTCGTAAAAATATTAGGCGCTGCAGAAAATCAGTTATCTGCGCTAAGTACTTATTTCGAACGTTTTTTTTCTTCATGTTCCGCGGCCGGTTGAACGGGATGAATGCGTGGCCGAAAGCTCGCGCCTGCCGGGTTAAAAAAGAAACAAAAAAGCAGGCGCAAGCTGGTTTTATAAAGTTGTGCTTCTCGACAAAGCACGATCTCTTGGCCTTTTTAAAGAAGCGACGCAACGATTTTTGTATTTTGCGCAAATATCAATTAGAACGGATCCCTGACGTTAATGACGTGTGAAATACCCATTCGGTTTTCGCCACACGCAATCGAAGTCGCAGGGAAAAATGAAGAAAAACGAGCAGAGTTCACTCCCTCAACTCGCAGCCAGAACAAGCGGCCACGTGATCTGGAGCCGATTGTATGCCGCCGTGGTCATAGCCACGCGCTGGGGTTGGCAAAGCACAGGACACGCGCTGAGTTCCAGTCATTGTTCTGGTTCGGCTGTTGTCGTCATTGCAGCGATTGGACACAATACACTACCCGAATGCTTCTCGAGCTATCAATTATCACGAGCCCAAATCGAGTGTCCACACCATGCTCGGGTCCAATCTATGAGCCGCATTCAAATAGCGTCACTGGGCGGTACTGCTACCGCCCAGCTACGTCATCAGGTTTTGCGAAGGAGAGACTGAATGGAAACGCTCGGTTTTGTCCTCGAAATTACAGCGCAACAAAAGAGTTTCTTGGCCAGTGGCGTAGCGTGCAAGTATCGTTGAGTCCCACTAGTGCCAGTAGCTCGTGTAAAGTGAAAAACATTCCAATTGAATATCGTTGCACCGCCCCTTTAAAGTCCGTTTTGAGCTCTCGAAAATATTAACAACGATCCTGTCTGGGCAACGCTGGTCTGGCCGGCAGCGCAGCACTTTCACTTGATTCGTGTAATCGGAGGCATAACTGTTCGATCAGCTCTGGGAAGGTATCAACGAGTAATATTCATCGTAAAACTACAAACTCGAAATCCAATTTAGCAAATGACTTTTTAATCGTTTCTTTTTTGCGAATAATTCTTATTTATCATGGTTTAACAGCCACAATAAACGTTTTCACTAATCGCGGGGACCGACTCTGCACAACGTGACCAAGAAAAGAAGAGGAAGATTTTGCCCGGTGGTGCGTCTGCCGAGCCGGCATTTGGATCATCCAAGAAAACGCCACTGTGACATCCGCCGTCCACCGTGCCCAAACTAAGGAAGACAAAAATGTCCGAGGATCAGGAATCGGCGAAGCGAACCAATGAGCCGCTGGGAGTGGGCAGCGAGGGATCGCATTCACCGATACCGGGCGGATCCCAAGACGCCGACCCTCCGCTTCGCCAGACCGATGATCCAGACGCTAAGGACAAATCTCCGAGTGATAGAGGGCGCCGAATGTCCACCGATTCTCCGGTGTCCGACGAAGAGATGGCCCAAGGTGCCGCCAGTACCATGCTCAAATCTCCGCTCTCCCCGAAAAATGTTGAAAGCGTACCGAATCAAGACATTCCCTCCGGGGTGCCTAGCACAAAGGGCGAGTACAGATCTGGCGAATCAACCCCGTCGGCAGGATCCCCTATTTGCAAGATCTTTCCTTGCATGAGCGAACGAGAGTTCATCAGCAGGTTGGGCAGTTCGACGCTCGCCAAGTCTGTGATGGACGTGACGGGAATCAAGGAACCCATTCGAGTTCTGTTGACTGCCGCGACTTCGGACCTCTCGTACCTAATGCTCATTCCTCTGGCGCGCGGCGACGTGTTCGGCACCGACCAGAGTATGTTTATTCACCTGTACGACGAAGGAGAAACCATCTCGGACCTCCACGGAATAGCCATGGAAATCGAAGATTGTTCGTTCTCTCTCGTTAAGCAAGTAATTCCGACGGGGGAAGACGAGGTAGCCTTCCTGAACGTGGACTTCGCGTTCCTTAACGATTCCATGGCTGCAGACGGTGACAGGCCCGCATTCGAGAGGATCGTGCAAGCGTATGCCGGGCATGGCAAGGCCCTTGACGCCTACGCTAAGAAGACGGTCAAGGTTATTGTCTCGGGTAGTCCCGTCCAGACTAACACGTTCATCTGTGTGAAGTAGGTTATTGCCCTTTAAGACGTAATCGTGCTTGGTTTAAATTTTAGAGTTCAGGCGTCCTTCTGAAGCTATGGGCCCTCAAGAAATGGGTTATGAAATACCGCTCTTAAGTGTTCACTGCAAATACCAACAAATACACGTGTCAGCTGCCGTATTGTTCATTCTTCACCTTACGAAAAAATCCAGTATAACCTTTCACTATCTAGACTATGGGAGTGACAATGTGTTTCTGGAAACCCAAAATCCACAATGTAGACAAAGGAATAATTAAAAAAAAAATAAAACTGAAATTCGCATAGAAGCTAGATAGATTTCCAGTTCCATAATCCAGATAGCGAAAATTTATTCTGGGTTCTTCGGTAGGGAAATGAGGCATTCGATCAACGCGCTATTTGATCATTTTCACTCTAGCATACTCATTTCAAATGATCCTCTATCATTAAAACTAATTTGATTTAAATATGTTTTTGTAAAATAATTTTTGTGAAGCAAGAAAAGCAACTAGTAAGATTTTCTTGTTTTTCTTCTACAGATTTGCCAAAACCATTTCATCCGAAAACTTCACGGGCCTCGCGCGACTCAACCACAATCGTGCCGTGACAATGCTTTCCCAGAAACTTGGCGTGATACCCAACAAGATCATCAACATGATCGTCTGGGGTAACAAGGGAACCACACTTTATCCGGACTACAGCAGGAGCGTTGTCGTCAAAAAAGCCCGGCGGTACAGAATCTCGGACCTGATCAGCAAAGACTACCTGGACGAAGGACTTCCCGAGGACGTCCGCCTTCGAGAGAGCTTACTCCAGAAACTGACCAAACAACCGGGTCTAATGTCCAGGGCCAAGGCTGCGTGCGACCAGATGAGGGACTGGTGGATCGGCCTACCCCCAGGGCAGTTCGTGTCGATGTCCGTCTTCAGCGACGGTATCTACGGCGTTGCGACAGACATTGTGTTCACGTACCCTGTCTTCATCGACAACAAGCAAACCTGGAGGATCGTCCAGGGCTTAACCATTGGAGACAACTTGCGTGCCTGCCTCGACCAGTCGTCCAGAGAGTTGGAACAGGAGAGAGATCAGGCTGTGGAAATCTGTACTGAGCTCGGTTTGTAACGGGTGTACTGTCAAAACGTCAACCGCTGCCATCAGCATGCATTCAGGGTGGAATAAAGGATCAGTAAAACAATGAAGGCACGCTCAATGTGAACACCTAATATAACCCTGTAGGCGTGACAGCATGATCGCATTGCGTAAGCAGAAATATTAAGTAAAAAAATATAAAATCTGGAGATAGACAAAGGTGCACAAATAAATTGGCAACTCTTTCTTTTTGAGATTATTAACGAAAAATACTGATACTAAAGGCATATTCACACGAGGGATGCTTTTCGGGGATTGATGTGCGTGACGTCAGTGTTTGGCAAAATCACCGGGACTATAGAGCCCTGCACGGGTCTACTTTTTGAGGCCCGGGCCCGCTGACTCTTTGTCTTACCCGACCCGGACCCGGCTTGATGGGGCGCCTACCTGATCAGCCCAGGCCCGGCCCGGGCCCGGCCTGGTGAGAGGCCGAGGCGTGCCTCATTTTTTACATCATAGCCTCCTCTATACTGACAAAGTCTGGCAGATAGTGACTTGACGCGGCAGCCAAAAGTGAAAAGGTAGAGCGGTAAGCAACGCATAAGAGAAGAGTCATGTAACGGGCGGCCCGCTGCGGCGAGACGCCGAAACATACCATACTTATTTTTCTCCCGTTGACGAAGGTAAATGGAACAGTGAATGCAACGCCACCCCTTCCCCGTTCCTCAGTTTCGGTTTCGACTGTTTCGTTTACGCTCAAAATTGTGCGCCAAACTGCCGGGGCTAATTGATTACAGATTACAGATATTGATACACGGGAACAGCGTCGAAAGGTCAGTATGCAAGATGACGACGACGGGCGTTGAGAGGATGACTTTTGGGCCTGGTTCCTCGGAGGCGGCAGTTTCTACTTTGGCTGGGCTACCTCCTTAGAGCCTGATGCTTCGACCCCAGTGGACCCCAGTGAGCAACAGTGCCATCATGTTCCTGGGGCTCCTTCATGCACAGACCGAACGACGTGCCAGATACCCATGGCTGGCTGCTTAGCCGCCCAACCGACCTCCACCAATATGGACTTCTGCAAATCGGACTGCCATCTTCCCTAATTCCAGCAATCCATGTCGTCATCATCATGCATGTATATACTCATCACATAATCACGTTCACTAGACGCGGCACCGCGGGCCTCCATGGTACGGGCTGCTCCCTTTCCGCGATGCCGCGGCTCTTCAGAGCCGAAAAATAAAGACTAATGACTAAAGACTATCCCCTGCTTCGAGTTTTCGGCGGTCCAAGCGCCATAGGACACACAACTGCCCAGAGAACGCAGATTGTCCTGAGGACGTCCTCAGCTGATCAAGACGTCTTCGTCCCGACGAAGACGTTTCGACCAGCTGAGGACGTCTTCAGAACAATATGCTTTATCTGGGCAGTCCGAAACGTCCGGAACTTGTTGGGACATTCTGTTCCTTTCAAAGACGTCTTGAGGACGTTTTCAGTTTCCCTTATTTAGGAAGACCAAAAAAAGTCTCCTCCCGAATGATTTTTGAATAGTACAAAATGTTTCCATGCCGGGAAAGGAAAACGAAACCAGAATGAGTGCGAAAATAAGAATTCGTTAAATGATATTTTTACTAAACATTTTAATTGCGGCCGCCGAGGCCGCAGGCCTCGGCGGCCGCAATCGCCGTAGCCTCAACATCAGCAGCCAGTCGCCTCGGTTTCTCCCGAGCGAACAGTGTGATTCGGGTCCTCGCCGTTCAAAAGCTGTGCGCTACCTACCGGACTCCCCAAAAAATGTTCTGTGCTACCAGATCCTTGCGCTCTAAATCTGCGACCGGGCGCTCTGTGGCTCCGCCATCGAACTGCCAGGCTTTGTGAGTATAGAGGAGGCAATGCTTAAATTCAAAGCTGCCCTGGGAAGGTGTTTGTGCATTGATTCGTTCACCAACTTGCATGAAATATGCCGCCATATCGCAGTCACGTGTTGAATCTTCGAATGTTTACACAAACACAAAAGACATAGCTTGTCTATGGTAGCCAGAGGGCGTATTTTTTTCTTCTTCAAAAGTTCGAAAGGGAAAGAGAAAGCCAATCGGACCGTCCCTTGTGACCGGATTGCAGGCTAGCAGTCGTATTGCACTGGCTAAATTGCTTAACCACAGTGGGTAACTGCCGCCATGTTTTGGCAGACGAACCTCCTGCTGTATAAGCAACTAACGACTAATTTTACTTTGATTTTTGTCCTCGTTTTCTTGCCCGCTGGCAGCTGTCCCACTAGGCTGATGGAATCCTTAGGATCCTTCTCCGTATCTTCTTGTGGGCTTTCTTATTCCAAGACAGGTTTCTTTATTTCAAAAGATTTTCTGGTGGCGTCGTAGCAAGTTCGCTATTGGCCTTTTTGGTTTCTTTAAAATCTTAATGATCTATACTTTAGCATTTTCTTCTCAGCGTTTTCGAAAGTGTGCTACACCATTGCCCGAGCCCGATCCGAACCCGAAAACAAGCCGTGCTAACCTGCCCGTGCCCGGCCCGGAAACAATCCGTGGTACCCAGCCCAGGCCCGGACGCGTATTGTGAGACCCCCCACGGCAGAGCCCCGCGAGAGAGAAAAGAAGAAGGGAGAGGAGGAAAGGGAGGAGGGAAGAGTACCGCGATTGGCTGGCGCAGTCACGTGGTACGCGCGCGCTACGGGCTGTTCTAAGCTGCGTGCAGCCCCCCTCCCCCCCGCTACCGCCGACGCGAGCAGACGCCCTGCCGTTTTGTTTTGGAGCACTCCACGCCCCAGTCGAAAAAGTGCATTGGTGCAGTCCTAGATATTGGAAGGTATCGTTAGTGTGAAACTGGATAACATACGCGCACAGGTCTTAATGCTGACTGGGCGGCTACGCTACGGCCGTTTTATGCTTTCTGCCGTAACGTTCGCGTACTCCAGGGCGGAAGGGTGTGTTTAGGCCTAAGGACCCGTGACCGCTGCCAGCGTTCCGAAGTCATTTACGGCCTGGAAATAAACCCAGCTCGTTTGGCTTTCGCTAAAACGTCCAGTGTAGCTAATGTTTTATTTCATTCGAACGACGCGCCGCTGCGGTGTTGTGTAGTCTGCCCTACAGCGATGCCCAACTCGCCGCTTGGCAGCATTATTCACGGGTGTAACATCATTCGCCCGTTGCTGGCCTCAACAGGAATCGCGCCAGGTACGTATGAGACGCCAACGGAGCACAAGCGGTGATCTGGACCGCGAGTGCACGTCTGAATTGTGCTTTGCATATACACTGTCACGCCTCTGCAAGAATCAATCGCGCTCCCCGCAGCTAGTCGAAATGGAAAAGTGCATTGTCAAGCCTGTAACCCTGCGGCGAAATTGATCCATACCCGATGTCAGCTTTTTTGTGCTCCACTGGAAACGGTACTAAAGCGTGAACGCAGCTGCTTCGACCAGTGCTTTTTTTTTTTTTTTTGCGCGATCACTCGAGGGGTTGAAGCATGTCCGCGGGCAGCGTGCACGCACTCGTACACCCACAGTGGAGTGACGCGAAGTGACGTAGCGATTATTACAAATTTAGCGAAGGAAGCGGGCAGTGAGAAAATATTCCACAAGCCGACTGGCCATCTACTGTCATCGTCCTCACCTGCAGCGACGACTGGGCACGTGTGTGAACGAATTGGTTGATGTCAAGGGTCGTCCTCGCTGTGCTTACCAATTAGCCTCTGCAATGTGATATGCCCACATGCCCACTGTTATGCGTACGCATGCTGCAGACAGCAGGTGTCAGATTTGTCCTAGCTATGCTTACCTCAGAATATCTTCAAAGGATTGTATTCACACATGTCCGCAAGCCTCGGATAGTTTTGCCCGAGTGACTTGGAGCCTGTGCTCGACACAGGGGGGCTATGTTGCACGTTTTGGACTCCCAGAAGACTAGGGAGAAGGAAGTGACGTAGGTGTGAATGAACGTGTCTTAGCAACTTCTGCAGATACTGTCATCAGCGACTACACCAATCAACATCCAGCGAGCATTGTTGACGTCACTTCCTTCTCCCTAATCTCCTGGGAGTCCAAAACGTGCAACATAGCCCCCCGGTGCGAGGGCTGGCTTTGCCTGCCTGACCTCCATCTTTCTTTGCGACTACAAAAAGCTGGCCAAACTGGCACCTGGCATTGGTGAATAGGTAGTCTAGACATAAAGGGAAACCGAGGTCAGCCAGCGTGAACTTTGCTTCAGCAACAGGGTTTCAAAATGCAGCCGCAAAAAGATGCACTACATGTTGGGCACATTGCCATTGACGTTTCTGTTTCCAGCAGCTACAAAAATAAGCACTCTCATCTCAGTTTGTCCTCTTTTCCAAACTTGGTGATGTTAACCACTTGCGAGGTTCCATCAACCCAAATTTCCACTACGGAATACTGACACTTCTCGCTGCATGACCTCCACTGGGCCATGTGCAGTCAAATCATGGAATGCCTAATTTTTCTGAAACCAGTAGGGAAAATATACGAGGCAAGACATTCTCAGATGATCAGCATGGTCGACTATATATGCAGCAGACCCGACAACAAAACTCCCTGCACACAACTTTAGAAATCCATCCATTTATTTCAGGCACATTGCACTTGCGAGCAGGCAAGCACGAAAGCAAGTTTACATCACGAGCACTGGCAGTGCAACACAAGGCGTGCAAATACACCCAACAAAAAATATGAAGCATAACGAAAGAATAATGGTTATCTCATTATTGAAGACGGCAATAGAAACAAGGTTGTCGTGATTCATGTATGTGCACTACACAGTAAACAGCGTCGTGACAACAGGAAGGGCACAAAAAGTGCATTAAAAACAAATCGCAATAAGGAAACCTTGCACTCTATGCAACCAAAAAAAAGAAGAAAGCCTAATTCCTACCAATAAAATCATACTATTTTAAAATAAAATAAAATACTATTTTCTATCAAAAGAACAGATGCGATGCGAATACACGAGTCTTGGTCAGTCATGTATCGGAGCCGCTTCTAGCATCTCCCTTTCCACTTCCTT